CACACACACACATGCACACACAAACCAAAAAGGGCAGGGATTATAATGTCACTATATTTAAATGAACAAAATCAATTTAGGCCAAAGAAAACATTAGGCATGAAATCTTGTGGATTCATGGGTAGCCTAAGATCTACAGATAATAAAACTCTGTGACTGGATGAAATTTGATTTCGTTTTGGTAACTTTTTGTGTGTTTATTGGGGTTAACTTTTAATTATAAATATTAAGTATGCTATAGTACTTAGTCTAATAAAATATTAGCAATAGCATGCAAATTATGTAAAGAATGATGATTGCAATTCGTATTATTCATATCTAAAACTTTATTCTTATGATTTTTATCAAAATAACCAAGAAATGGGATCTTGGGAGATGGCTCAGTGGGTAAGAGTGTTTGCTTTGCAGGCATGACAATGTGAATTTGAATCCCTAGAACCGAAGAAAAACCAGGTCACTCAGCCTACCCAAAAAGACAAACTTCTAGTTCACTGAAAGATCTTGTCTCAAGGCAGTAATACAAAGAGCTATGGAGAAAGACACCTGATACCTAATGTCCTACTCTGCTCTCTGCACATACCTGCATGGATGCACCCATGTGTACTCCCATGTGCATGTACCACGTACACATATCACACATACATACACACATACACATACACACACACAGACACACACAGACACACAGACACACAGACACACACACACACACATACACACATACACACCCCAAAACAGTAAGTATTGAAATCCTGTTATCTGTCATCCACTGTGCTCAGCATTGCACATGAATGAGTTTACTTAGCCAAAGATAGATTACCAATTTTTTTAAGATCAGAATTTAATAGAATGCCCGTGACACTGAAACTTCAATCAATGCAGTTAGATGCCTTAGAATCCTTCACTGACATGTTGCTTTGGAGGGCAATGTTCAGGGTTAAGTCAATATTGACTCTAGTCAAACTGAATATTTGTTCATTAAAAATATTTTCTAGCATTTCTGCCACCATTTTCTCACAGAAGTGTATGTAGTATGTATATATCAGGGAAAAAACTAATCAATAGAATTTTTCTGGTAATGTACCTATGGATAAATAAAACATTGTTACACTAAAAAGAAAGCTTGTGAATGACAGAATTTGTATTAAGTTGATCAAAACAGTCTACTTAAATTTTCAGTAGAGCCAGAGTTTTTAAAAGAATATATATTTGCTTATTTAATTCAAACAGTAGTTATCTTGTGACATAGAGTCAATTTAATCATCTAATGAATTAAAACTCCACATTAGGGCCTGGAGAGATGGTTCAACAGTTAAGAGCACTGGCTGTTCTTACAGAGGACCTGGGTTCAATTCCCAGTACCCACATGGTAGCTAACAATCATCCATAACTCCAGTTCCAGGGGATCCAATGTCCTCTTCTGACCCCACAGGAATTGCACAAACAGGTGTACTTACATACACGCAGGAGATACACTCATATACGTAAAATAAAAATAATAAATAAAATATTTTTAAAAGCTACATTAAGGCATGAAATAATTATAATACTGTACTATAATTTTACCTTATGCCTACTGAGCCTACTTTGCTCTTACTAGTCCAGTAAAAGACCAGAATCTAGTCTCAAGTACTTCTCTCTCTCTCCTCTCCCTCCCCTCTCCCTCCCCTCCTCTCCCCCTCTCTCCTCCCCCTCTCTCTCTCCCTCCCCTCCCCCTCTCCCTCTCTCTTTCTCTCCCTCTCTCTCCCTCTCGCCCTTTCTCAGTGAGTTAACGAACTGCCCTATATAGGGGAGATAATACTTTCCCCAGACAGCATAAGTTATCAAACAGAAAGCCCAGTGTTAGGTGTGGGCTACCTCTCTTTGAGTTGTTACTCAGGAGGGTCCCATAGACCCTCAAACAATACAGGCTATTGCTATTGTTCTCGGTTGCCTACCAGAATTTGATGATAAGACACTAATGCTGAAGACCCCACATACTTATGTCACAAGGCGTGGAGAAATAAAACTGGTAATAACGTGGGATCTTCCTCCCTATTGGCTAGCTTTCCTAGTGCTAAAAGGTACTGTGCAGGATACTGGGGGAGAAAAGTCATCCACAGACTTGCCCAGAAGTGAACCTTGGAAATTATAATAACAAACACCCAGGGAAGATATGCCCATTGGCACAATAGTGGCTTGAATGGGGAGTAACCAAATATATTCTGCCTGTATTTAAGAACCACTCTACAGGATAGAATGCTTACCTGGTACTGTAAACTAGGTCAAGACCTATGGTTGCATATATTATAAGCCTACGGAGAATCTACTTCTGGTTTGCTAAACAGATATAGTATCAAATTGCCCTCTGTACTATTAGATTAGTGAAGTTCTCGACCCTCATTAGAGAGATTTCTTTTTGCAGTGGATGGTAGTTAATACTGAGTCTCATGACTTCACAAAATGCAGAAAATAAGTAACTGTGAAGCTTTCATCCCTAAATGGGACATTAAATCACATTCCCTCCCACTAAGGCTTGGAAATCATGCTGGAAGAGGGAAGAGAAAGATTGTTACAGTCGGAAGTTGGGGAGGACTGCTACGAAACAGTGTTTTCTAGACATTATAGGGCTGTTGCACACATGAATTCACATCAGCGATTTAGTTGCCTGAACAAAACCTGCATAAGATGAAACCAGTCAAAATCTCAGCACCGATGTGGAAGAGCTCATAAAGTTCCACCTATGGCTGAGGAGCCATTGGCAACTAATGGCTGCTGGAGGAGGGAAAGTTGGTTTTCTTCAGCAATGTGGCCCCTGAGAGGCTGTCTATGCTCCATTAGATGACATTATACCCATTCCGCACTAATTGGACTCAGTGTATTCAAAATTTAAAAAAGAGGACTTGAGATTGGGAGAGAGACATGGGGTGTTCTGGGGGGAATTGAAGGTAGGTAAGGAGGTGGACAAGATCAAAATAAATTGTATACATGTATAAAATTCTCAAAGAACAAATAAAAATACATAAAAAGGCACAGATGCTGAAGCCACCCTCTGTTAGCACTGTAAGAATCCCCTGGAGCTGGCCACAATGAGAATGAGTCACAATTCTGATATTCTGGCTGCTGGTTGTCCTTCCCCCTTTAGACTTTGGAAACCTTTCTCAAGGATCTGCTTAGTACTATTGTTATTCTGATTAATAATATATTAGTAGCAACAATCACCATTTACTGACAGATTTTAAACCTACTGTTAGCCATTGTGGTTTGGAGAACAAAGAACAATAGTTTGATGTGGTTGGTTTTTGTTTGCTTTCCCCCAAAGCTCTTAGGCTAGAGTCTAGCCCTGAGTATATAAGTGAATCTTCAGAGAACAGACCACACATCAGGCACTGTGGCACAAACCCTACACTACTGTAGCATGGAAATCCATCAAATCTATTTTGTAACTGAAGGTACTGAGAATCAGATGAATGGACAACTAACTTGAAAAACTAATGAATCCAAACTAGGATTCCAACTCCAAGCCATCTCTGTCCTCAGGGTGGGCTGCTTCTGCTCTCCCTGTTTTGCTAATCATCACTGTGAATTAGCTGTGGAACTATTTCTGATCTGCTCACACACTATCTTTAAAAAATATTTTCGAAATAGTATTTCCTTGGGGCTGGAGAGATGGCTTAGCACTTAAGAGTACTGGCTACTCTTGCAGAGGATCCAGGTTCCATTCCATCACCCACATGGTAGCTAATAACCACCTGTAACTCTGGTTCCAGAGGATCCAATGCCTGCTTCTGGAATCCACAGACATTGCATGTTCATGGTACACCTACACACATGCAGGCAAAACACTCATATGTATAAAATAAAAACAAATAAATCAAAACTGTTCTCTTGAATCTATATCTACATAGGTGTATCTTCTTCCAAATGTATCATTAGAAATAATAGGTCCTAAATATATATTTGCACAAAGCTGTATTTTTGAAATGCAATTTAATTGCTTAATGCTTTGAGCCAAGAGCATTGGCATTTATTATTGGTGAACTTCATTCATATTTTTAGAGATATTTCTTAACATTCTGCCCATAAGAAAATATTTGGTCATAAAATTTAGATTGATCGCATGCTTTAAAGATTACAGGCTTTGTTTTACAGGAAATCAACAATAAATCTATATCATCCTAGCTTCAAAATGCTATTTTTAAAGGGACTTTTTTCATCTGAGTTTTCCTAGCCAAATTGTCTCATCCAAATGACCTACTGATACACTTAGTGACTGTATTTCTGTCCAACAGAACCTGGAAACATTATAAGTTATGCAAAATGGTCTGCAATGCAATTGCTATTGTGAGGTTGAATAAATAGGCTATTGTTCTTGAATGAAAACACCAGAGAGTCTGGGATCATTTAACTTAAAGTTCACCTTTTTCTAATCCTTTATATTCAAAACACATTGGTTAAGACCAAGCTTACATTTTGTTTCAAATTTTTCAATCTTGAAAAATTTACTTTAATAATTTTATTTTTAAGGTATAAATGAATTATTTTAAATTTACTTACTGAAAAAAGTGGGTTAAAATAGAATATAATTAGATGTGAAAATATAGTTGGTAATAGATATCCTTCGTATATCTGATGACAATTTAAACACTGATGAGAAGGAGATCTGTTCTGTGCATATATGTATATGGTCATTAAAGAAAGTTTTGTTGTTGTTGTTTGAGGGTCTCACATAGCCCAGATTGGCCTCAAACTCACTATGTGGCTGAGAGCTGAGAATGATCTGGAACTGAACTTCTGATCCTCTTACCCCCACCTCCCAAGTTCTAGGATTACAGGCATGCACTACCATGCACCACCATGCCCAGTTTATGCAGTACTGGGAATCAAACCCAAGGCCTTGTGCATGCTAAGTAAGCACTCCATCAACTGAGCCATGCCCAGTCCCAGGAAGACTCTCAAGATATTTGGCTTTAATTTAGGAATGTCGTTAATTTTCTTTCACCACTACTGTCCTAACTTACATCCACAGGCTTGCCATCTGAGGCCCGTGCAGCAATAACTGTCCTTCCATGAAAATCCACAGGGTGCTTTTCATCTGTGTGCCGGCTTACAATTAAATTACAATCCACATAGAGAGCAATGACTCGGGATTGGACACCAATGCCAAGTTTATGCCACTGACGGTCAAACAGAGGGCGGAGTTCTCGATTTTTAAAAATGTAGTTCAACGTATCTCCCTCAGCACCTTGGAACATAAATTCTACCACCTTCTTTGCACCATCAATCACTACTGAAATCTGAAAAACAATGCAAAATATGTTTAAATGGCTTGAAAATCAATGTTCAAACTTAGTAAAGCACTCAAATAAAAATTCCAGATGTACCATAGCATAGCTAATTTAACGTTTGAGACATTACCTGTGCCCATCATGTTGGTTAATATGAAAGAAAAATAAACTCCTTACTGTTGAAATGTTTTAAATATGAAGTGTCATAGTGAACATAATATGCTGCTTCTTTAAAAACCATCTAAGGGTGTTATGCATTAAATATAATTATTTTAAATTATAATTTCATTATCATAGTATATATTCAGAAATTAAAACGTAAATTTATATAAAGTATAAAAGTCATTATCTTAAAATATATTGTCTGAATAATATATACATAAATGTAAGCTTATATTTGTTAGGGGCTGGAGAGATGACTCAGTGGTTATGAGCACTGGCTATTCTAGCAGAGGGCCCTGGTTTGGTTTCCGGCACCCACATGGCAGATAACAACTGTCTGTAACTCCCTCTTCTGGCTTGTTCTGAGGATCCCTGGTGTCTCCCTCCTTGAGCACTATGATTACGGTGGGCCCCCAAGCCCACCTTGTATTTACCTTGATGCTGAGGATCTGAATTCTAGACTTCATGTTTTCATGGCAAGTGCTTTACCTACTGAGACAACCTCCTAGCTCTAAATCTCTTACTCTTTTTTTAAAGTGTGTAGGTATATTGTCTGCATGTGTGTAAGTACTCCTGTGTCATGTAACCCCACGAGGGTCAGAGGAGAGCATTGGATTGCCCTGGAACTGGAGTTATGGATAGTTGTTTAGCCACCACGTGGGTGCTGGGGATTGAACCAGGGTCCTCTGCAAGAGCAGCCAGTACTCTTAACTGTTGAGTCCCTAAATCTCTTATCCTTAACACTACCTAGCACATAGCTTCTGTTCAATAAATTATTTATGGATGAAATAAGTATTTAAATCTCAGCTCTTAATTGACCAAGAATTTTCAGAAAGCAGTAAGTCTTAAGAATTATATATATTAGTGATGAGAGGAAGTGAGATTAATTAATGAGGTAAAGTCAGTCAAAGCAGCTGTAAGAGAAGAGGAGTTCAATTGTCTTCACATACAATATGAATCTTCAGGTTGAAGAACAAACCAGTATCAACCGCAGACTGTCACATTGCAGATATCAGCAAAACCATCCTAATTATAATGCTTGCATTTCTCTAGTGATGATCCCTTTAAACAACCCAATATTGGGGTACTAGATTGACTCCCAAATTTGAGCACACAGTTCAAAGACTCGCCTGACCTAGCCAAACAAGAGGAACCAATGAGCTTATCAACCTCATGGTGTCTTACCTGTGGCCTATCTTGCTGGTTTAAAATCTGCCATAGAAACCACCTCTCCTTTTTGGTGCTTCTCCGTACCCGAAACATGACTGTTACAGAGTATTCCTCAGGAAGGCCTTTGGGGAAGATCTTACTATGGGAAAAAAACAAACAATTGTTGTAGGGAGCCTGAAGATGGTGAGGAAAAAAATAAAACCTAGGTACAAAGTTCTGTGTAGTGTGATCGATCATTCAATCATAGTTTTTATTAGTGAGTTTATAATTTATTATTCATTTTTCTATCATCTACCTAACACATGCCTGCATTTTCTATGTAGTTTTTCTTCTCATTCTCTTCCTTTTTGTCATCATCTGTGTCGGTACCATTAAAGTGTTTAGTGAATAAACAAGTGGATAGGCTATAGTACTACATTGTGATATTTTCTTCAAAGGGGTGTTCCCACACAGCAAAATCTCAGAATTCAGTGCAGTCTGATAAACAGCGGCCATTTATTAGGAGTGAAAATTGGGGTGAGGGGGAACTGCAGAGATTGCTTGGTGATTAAAAGCACTTAACTGCTCTTGCAGATGACTCTATTTCCAGCGCACAGGGACTCAGCACTGCCTGTATCTCCAGCTTCAGGGTATCTGGTGCCCTCTAATGGCCTCTAAGGGCACCTGTACTCATCTGCACATACCTCTACACGCCACACACACACACACACACACACACACACACACACACACACACACAAATAAAAATTAAAAGAATGAAAGCCCCCTCTTGATGTTTTTTGTAGAAGGGGATACAGAGAATTTCAAAGAACACTGATTAAAAAAGAAAGGCTTATTTTCTGGGTAAGTTTTATCACATTCAGCTCTTACAGATGAGTTCCTAATATTGTTTTCCTAGTAGTAACTTATGATGACACTACGTTAATAAAATTTAGCATTGTTTTTATTCCTCCAGAAAAAGAAAAGTTTTTTAAACTCTTTCTATGTAGTGGAAATTGAAAGATGGTCTAAATATCCTTCTACCTCAGTCTCAGTTTCAAAATAGTGATCTAATTAAAATCAATAAGAAATGAGAAATTCACAAAATACATATCCTGAATTTAGCTTTCATTAGAAAATGACAACTATATTCCTCCAAGATGAATTTTAGGTTTATTTTCATTGAATGGGAGAACACTGCAGTATTGGAATCCTGTTTTTCTTTCTTTTCTTTTTTTTTTTTCTTTAAAGTAAGAACATTTATCCCTCAAGGATAAACAAAGCTTGAAGTTTTCATATAGAAATAAAACACCATACACTGAGTTGGCAACTACTAATTTTGAACAGTACACTCAGCTCTTCTGAAATTGACAATCTGGTATTGAAACTGACAAACAAACTCTTATCAAGAATCCTGGAATTTGCTATTTACTCTTTGTATTAGACACGGAGTCCCATATGGTAAAGAGTTCAGAAAAAATATGAAAGAGAAGTGCTTTCTGAGGGTTATAATTCATTTATTACTCAATTGGTTAAACAGAACACTCATATACATATATGAATATGTGTGTGTGTATAGAAACAGAGACACCCCCCCAACCCAACAATGTTTTCCCTGATGATAGTGAGAAAATGGTAAGAATTCAGAAATGGTACTTACTATATAGGTTGGTGCAAAAGTAATTGAAGGTTTTGGTTGTTGAAATCTGTCATTTATACTGGAATGTATTCTTAATAAATGTAATTATGTTTTACATCATTTTAATATTCATCCCCCCCTTTATTTTGCTAATGACTTACTACTTACTGTTTATTTTATATTTGTTTTTATACTGTGGCAATGTGACTAGGCAAAAAGCAAATTCAAGCTATTTTCTTATTCAAGAGCAAACTGGGCCATTAAGCGGTGGAGACAGCTCACAGCATCAACAATATATTTAGCCCAGGAGCTGCTAATGAACATGCAGTGGAGTGGTGCTCAAGATATTTTGCAAAGGAGATGAGAGCCTTAAATTTGAGGAGTTTAATGGTTGGCCATCACAAATTAGTTCATTTCAAACAGTATTTTTTTCATCAATTCCATCAAAATGGATGTCATTAATGGGATTTTTCATCTGAAATTCCACTAGTATTAAACTAAATTTTGCTAAATTATTAGCGATGACTACTGTATGATTTTAAGCAGTGTCATGTACTTATCACACACACAAAAATTAGTCTTGGGGGCCTGCCATTTTCCTTTGGGACCAGTTATAAATCTGAAAGGTGAGCACATGTAGGGTTGAGGATATGGCACCAAAAATGTGCTTCCAAGTGGAAATTTTAAAGTAATAATAGCAATACATTTTTTAAGGAAATCTCAAGCTCCATGTTGTCTCCCTACCACATGTAATAATAGCTTCTCATTTTGTTTTGCTTCCAATTTCATATCTCTGTTTTCCAAACTCTACCTTGAAGTTCTTGTGATTTGTATGTGACCTCAAGTTTTCTAGAATTTGACCGTGCTATTATACAAGGCACCAGTCTTTCTTACCACACAATTCTTTCAGACAAGATCAAGTGTGGTCGAAGTCATATGGCCATAGACTTGAGAACATCTTTCAATAAGGACTGTATATTACCAAATATCTTTTAAATTATTTATTTAATAACCACATAATTAGAAGAAGCATTTCATTACAACAGCATTGACATATTCAATAACAATTTCCAGAGCTAAGATGCACCTCTTTCAAAATTGGCTGTAAATTTTTAGGTTTACAGTTGAATTAATAGTTATACAATATTGTACTCATTATAAACCCTATGACATAAAATTAAATGAGGTTTTAAATTTTAAAAAAAGATCTCAATTTCATTGTTAAAATATACAGTTTCATACAGAAAAAATCATTTTTAATACAATTGACACTAAGAAACACATGCATTTCTAATCTCTATATATCTGATTATAACTAGTCACAGTAGGTTACTTTCTGAGCACTTTGGCATCTGAGCATGGATATAAAGTCATCAGGTAGATTTAAATGGTAATGTTTTTCATATCTACTAATTATTAAGGAGCAAAATTTTTATGCTTTGAAGAATTATTTTTTTTACATCCACTTCCAAGATAGCACCCTCCCATAGCCTCCCTCCCCCCACTAGAGCCCTTATATTCTTATATCCCTGCTACTGTCTGCTGTGTTGTCGGCACCCCAGCCATTCCCCACTACTTGCCCTTCTGGCGAATCTAGTCAGCCTATCTAGAGGTCTTTGTTTTAGGAGGGCCAGCTGTTCCTCATCTAGCAGCAATCAGTTGTCAATATTCCTTTAGATAAGATTGGGGTCTGCTGTTCATTTTCCCAGTTCTATGCTGGGTTACTATATGGGAATCCCTTGGCCACTCTGGCCAACAACTCAAAAGAAGGTATTGCCTGTCTGGCATTGTTGCTTGTTATGTAGCCTTTGGTTATACATATGGACTCTTATAAAATTATATTGGCCCTTTAATCTTTGGTTTTACTTTCCTTTTGGGTGTTTAAGGCCATACAGTTGGTCCAGATAAGCTGATTTATTTTTACTCTTAAGATTGTTTGAGGATCTGTTTCTCAGGGGTCCCATGGGCTTGGGAGGAGCCACTGGCTCCTTTCTTTTCCCAGTTCCATCTATGGGAAGATAAGTCAAAGGTCCTTCTCGACCATGGTTGGCTCCGCTTGGAAGCATGGAGGAAATGATTCCTCTGTGTTGACCCTCCTCTTTATAGACTGGACACTGGTTCAAGTCCATCTGATGGGAACTCCTCAGCCTCCTTGATCAAGGGGACAGGTGACACACCACCATTATAGGACATTTTGAGAGATGCTCATGGTCCCCTGGAACTGGTTGACACCTTTATGTCCCTCTGACTAAATTAGTATAGGTTTCAAAGTATGTATGTTAAACACCCAAGAAGGTTAGTTCTACCAGTCTGGTATTTTTAATTACTGTGTGTCATGTAGATAAATCTTGGGCAAAGACCAGTTGTTCTCAGATAAACTTTACCTAGAACTATATTTCTTGATCTGCTATGTATAATTTATTTGTCAGTAGGTTGTAGGAGTAATATGGTTCCCTCTGGCTTTCAAAACTAGTTAGGCATTGTTTATCTCTCACACTGTCTCACTCCTCCATCATGGTTTTCTCACATAAGGTGCTTCCATTTCCCCCCTTTCTCTCTTACTAATACCCTTCTCCTATGGTCCTACATCTCTTGAGCTCCTTCTTTCCCTTTATCCCCTAGGTTCCTTGTATACCCTTCCCTCCCCCCTCCCTTAAACTAACACAATTTCTATCCATGTCTCCCTTATTAAGACCTGTTTCCTACTGTTCTACTTTCAGGTTCTTTCTTTTCCTTTACCTTCCTGGTTCCTTTCCATTATCCTGGTTCCTGGAGTTATGTCTGGTTGAATACTTATTTATCATATGTCGATTTTTTTTCTGAGTCTATGTTACTTCACTTAGTATAACAGTTTCTAGTTCCATCCATTTACCTGCAAATTTCATGATTTCATCTTTCTTTACTGCTGAGTAAAACTCCATCGTATATATGAACCACATTTTCATTATCCACTCATCAATTGAGGGACACCTAGATTGCTTCCATCTCTTAGCTATTGTGAAAAGAGCAGCAACAAATATGGATGTACAAGTTTCTCTGCAAAAGTATGAGCTATTTGGGTATACACCAAGGAGTGGTATAACTGGGTCAAATGGTAGGTTCATTTGTATTTTAAGAGTTCTATACACTGCTTTCCATAGGGGTTGAACCAGTTTGCATTCCCACCAGCGATGGATGAGTGTTCCCCTTTCCCCACATCCTCTCCAACATTTGGTATCATTTGTTTTCTTGATCTTAGCCAATCTGACTGGGGTAAGGTGAAACCTTAAAGTGGTTTTAATTTGCATTTCCCTGATTATCAGTGATGTTGAACATTTTAAAGATGTTTCATAGCCATCTTTACTTCTTCTTTTGAAAACTTTGTGTTCAGCTCCTTAGCCCTTCTTTCAATTGGGTTGCTTCTTGTCTTGGTTCTCTGTTTTTTAAGTTCGTTATATATTCTGGTAATTAAACCTCTATCAGATGTATCGCTCCTATATCTTGTAGGTTTTTCCCAATGTTTTCTTCTAATAGTTTCAGAG